TACAGATTAAAAATACCACAAAATTAGAAATACTGGCCAAGTCAACAAATCTATCAAAGAACTGTTCTTGGTAAAACGCAGAAACATATGGAGTTTGCCAGGCCTGTCTGAAGCACTTTTAACTGCACTATTCTGCACACCACAACCCCTGCCACTTCAAGGAAAGGGGATATCCCTCGACACTTACGGCAGCATGTAAACAAAAAGGAAGAAATTCTTCTGCTCCATGTGTTAAGTGCTGATTCATTTATCCTTGAAATAACTCAGAGTTGTGCTCCATTTTCCAGTGCCTCAAACAGACTATATTCTACACTACAGCAAAGCGTGAAATCTCAAGCAAGTCAGCTGACCTAATAAAATATCTGGCTGTGGCTAGACTGGACTTTATTAGTTGTTCTTTGGGCTATTTTTTGGACAACAGTAGGTATTTTGGAAACCTTAGGTGAAAGCACTGTGAAGAGGTGAGCACATTTCTCTCCCACCAGTCAGATAAGTCATTCTTACTACCCCCATAAGACATTTATTTGCAATGCCATTTTTAGGCTGATTCATGCACAACGATAATGCCAAACAGCTCTCAAGAGCTTGAAGGCTGCTGCATGTCAAGCACATTTACCCGCGCCACACTTCAAATAGCTGTTTTTCACACCGTTACATGTTTTCTCACTGCCTTCACTCCTACATGTTCACAATCAAGCAGGAAGCTGACACACTTACCACACACTTCAGAAGGTCGTGACTGTGGGATAGACACATCTGCTATAAAAAGGATGACACACAGCCAGACACAATGACAAAGAACCTGGGGTTTTGTGGTGGCCTACCACTCTGGACAGATTCACAATATTGCTTAACAAATCTGATTTTCAGTCACACTTGTGCTGATGACAGTGGCTCTGTAAGGCAAGCTTAAAGCAAGTCTGAACTGAGAAACTCCGTTTCCTTCACACTGTCTAAACAACATAAATAAAGGCGAAGGCTTCCATTGTTACACAGCCAGAGATACAGCTGTTTACCAATCACAAACTCCTAATCTACTTGCCCAAAAACAAAGCTCGGTTCAGTTAGCCACAAGGATTTCGGCTTACAGCAGTCATGGACAAACGTATCAGAGGGAAACCAGTGTCTGCAAGTAACTACGGCTGGTGACTAACAACGATGGACTCAGCACTGTACAGGCAACATCTTTTTAATGTATTAAAGGTTGCCCTGAAAGATGATGCTGTTCTTACCTAGATCTCCCAGATAAACCAGACATCGGTGACATGCCATCTGTGCCCACTCCATCTCCTTCTCCGATGCAGACACAGGTTTCTTGCAGCCTACAAGAGAAATATGAAATCACATACACCACTGGGCAAAGGCTGCTGGAAAGACACATGAGCAGCCTACACCTCTGCCTGAGACACCCAACATTTCACAGGATGAAAACAAAGACCACATGGTCAGACCACACTGTTGCTGTCTGCAGCATCTTATAGATCAGCACCGGTTCACTCTTGTTCTTAAAACGTGGAAAATAAATGTAGAAGATACACATAGACGCTGATGCTCACCCACTCCCCCTTCAATTCCCTGCTAATTAGTGGCAGGACATGTCACTGCATCACTACCAGTCACCGAAATGACTGTCACTCAGACTTTGTCTACAAGGTATGCCACAGAGAGCTGGCTCCATTCCCACTCAGATGAGAAGACAAAGGCCAATTCCTGTCTACAAGCCATGTGATCGTGTTAACATAGCATTGAGCACAAGCTAATAAGGCCTGTCGAGAAGCTGATTTTGTTAGCATGGTTAATGAGGCTTTTGGATGTGAGCTGGTGCAAATCCCTGGAAGCCAGAACAAAGTCAGAGCACACCTGCACCTGGCAGTAGCATACAATGTGGACATAACCTCCCTAACACTGAAGATGAAAACAAATTCATTGTCTCAAGACTGAGATCTAGATTTAGGACTGGCCAACCAAAAAGGGAGGAAGAGAAGTAAAACAAGGAAAAGTCAGGACAGTAAATCTGTGTTGTAGGTGGTGCAGCTGCAGTCAGTTAGGAAGAACTGCCTCTGGACAAAGCTGCCTTTGCACCCAGAGGAGGGCAACAGAGCTGGTGAAAGGGCTGGAAGAACATCCTGTGAGGAACAACTGAGGACTTTGGGCTGGTCTAGTTTGGAGACATGGAGGCTGAGGGGCGATCTCACTGCTCTCTGCAGCTTCCTGAGGAGGGCATGTGGAGGAGGAGGTGCTGAGCTCCTCTCCCTGATATCCAGTGATAGGATGCGAGGGAATGGTTCAAAGCTGCATCAAGGGAGGTTTAGGCTGGACATTAGGAAGCATTTTCTTGCTGAGAGGGTGGTCAAGCACTGGAGCAGGCTTCCTAGAGAGGTGGTCGATGCCCCAAGCCTGTCAGTGTTGAAGAGGCATTTGACAATGCCCTTAATAACACGCTTTGACTTTTGGGCAGCCCTGAAGGGGTCAGGCAGTGGGACTAGACGATTGTTGTAGGCCCCTTCCAACTGAAATAGTCTATTCTATTCTACTCAGAACTTACAAAAAATACAAGGCAGTTCAGGCAATGGCAAGTGTCAAAAGCAACAGGGGAAGGCTGTAGCCAGCTGATCGGAACTAACTTAAGCCACCAAACATGACTCAGTTCCTGGGAGGGGCTGCCGCTGGCTGGCAAGACAGAGCTTCCCATCTCCCCATCAGCACCTTCTCCCCAGCCAGCAGGGCCATGGCTCCCGAGATCAGAAGGCAAAGGCTACTGCGTTCTCGCTTCCTCTCCAGAGAGGATTTACTGCCACCGGGCAGACCAGTGTCACGGATTCAGCCTAGGTCCAGTCTTCCTGTTGCCAAGGACTTCCACCTTCTGGAGGAGAAAACTCCCTCAAGCAGGAATCTCAAAGGAAGATTTTTAAGACCAGTCCAGCCTGCAGTCTGAGTCGCTTCCCTCTTGGCTTAGTCTAAAAGAGTGAAAGTGAAATCTGGAGCCTTAAGTGACCAGTGAAGAATAGTTCCCACTTACTAACAGGCATTGTATGACTTGCATTACGCAAACACATGGCCTTCCAATCTGTGTCCACGTACGCTATTGGACCCATCCTCCCTTTTTTTTTTTGCTTTGAATCCTCTTGTTCCCATTTATATAACCATGAAGTTGCATCCACCCTAATTTGTAGTTCATACAGGATTCTTAAACATCCATCTTTTCCAGATATGCAAAGTTACCTCTCTATTATCCAGTTACATACTCATCTGCTCTATCCTTTTAATTAAAGAGCCTAAACACATTAAGAAACCTGAATAAGGGGAGCTTTTCAATGCAATCATGCACCACAGGGTACAAACCCATCTGGAACGCGCATTTTGAGAATTTATTAATTCTGCAGTACTGAGATACATTTCTCAAAGCAACAGTTGCCAGGGACATCTGCCTTCTAAACCAACATTTCAAAGCCAATTGTGATACAATCACCTCCCAGAACTAAGAATAGGATATCAGCAACTAAAACATCCTATTGCTAAAGACATACTAACTTCTCGTATGCCAGTTTCTGCCATCCTCCCCCCCGCCAGCTTTAAGAACGTCAATTAAACCCTTGCTAATACAGTTCACAAAAGCATACAGAGGCTTGATTTCTCACCTGGACCCACTCAAACAAAAACATGTGCCTTGAGGCCACCAAGCACAACCCAGGAGCAAATGTGAACATACTACTAGGTAATCGAGGATGTGAATATCTATGCAGCCGTGAGCTGTTTCAAGACTGTAAAGACTCTTATTCTTCCTCCTCTAATAAGTAGGATACCTCAAATTACCTCGCATCTAAGGGCACGCACAGAGGTGGTTACCCGAGACAGCTAACATACCTTACTGTGTTACAAGAGCTTCTTCACGTTCTCAAGATTCAACAGCAGTTTCAAGGCTACGCACAGTACAACTAGGAAGTACGTGAAGGGAGCACAGATAGAAGGGGCACCAAGAAGAGGAACAATACCTTACATCTAGTGAATAGGAAGACTTGATAAAAATCTGTTGATTTCAAGAACCTCTTCCCCCAACAGCCCATTTGTCTGCTTTAATTAAGCTTTTAAAAACCTTCTGCACAGCCAGAAGTGCTCTTCATTTTTTTCCATAAAAATCTGCCATCACCAAACACTTACTAAATAATTTTCTAACAGCATTTTCTTCCTGTTAGAAACCCTTCTTTCTTCCCTAGTTTAGTACTAAAACCACCAACAAAACAGTGCCATGGAAAAGACAGCAGGACAGTCTATTCTAAACAGATAAAAAAAGATAATCCCTTGAATGCAGAAACAAAGATGGACAAGCACAAGGCGAAGCGACCTGGCTGGGATTCAGGCCTTGCCCACGAGTCCAACGCAGTGAGCACTAACCTATTAGAGGGTCGGTTACGTGTGTCCAGTCAATACAGCATTGCAGCTCCAGCTGATAGTGAGACTGAATGTAGAGGAGAAGGTGCTGGTAAAATCCTATGCCAGCAACTAAATGAGTCCGGTATGCACACTCCAGAGTGCTACGGCTGTGAATGTGCTGGAAGGAAGACAAAAAGAGAATGTTTTAATGCAGCCCGGATAATATTTCAGGCTGGCCACCCAAGTTATACCAAGCATGAAGCAAGATAGCGGGCAGCTCAGCTGTGATTGGTTTTGCACAGTTCTGCACAGTCGCTCGCTCAACAATGTTGTATCAAGGGGTATTTAATAAAGGTCAACATCAAGAAGGAGAAATACTTGCCGCAACAACAAATAAATAAAATCAAGGTGTCTGGTTAGAGCACCTTAAATACATTCAGACAACCAGATCACCAGGAGAGAGTTCATGGCATTAGAAAATACAAATGTGAATACTGTGAGTATTTTCCAGTGACCAATCCCAGTAAAAACAATCAGCACTGACAAAGCCTCTTACGACCATCATTCTACACATGGAGATATCGGTCTTTTGAAGACGGGAAGATAATAATTAAGCAAGTTACACTGAAATATCTTCTGCAATGGCAGGTCTCTCAGCATATTATTAAAGTTTACCTGCCCACAGCTAGATAAAAAGTGTATGTCAGCTCCATGACTAAAATTCATGAGTGCCCGGCTTCCTGCCCTGTGTTCAGACCACAACTTCTCCAAGCAAATGAAGCTTTTAACTTGGTGTCACCCATTGCACAGCCAGAGACTTTCTCATGCCAGAGCCATAGATACCTGCCTTTTTATTTGTTTTAATGAGCTGGATAACTTCATAGTAAACTTTTCTCCAGAGCAGTTCTTCTGCTTTTCTTCCATAATCCACCGGATGCAAGAACATCAGCTTCACACACAACTCCCGCAGCCTGCGACAGACAGCAGAGAATTCACATTTAGCTACAGCAGCTTCAAATACAGCTGCTGCTACATAAGCACGGAAGACAAAAATCTGAATTCACTACAATGGATGAGCTAGGCCATTTGGTGATGGTATCGCTTGTATCACCCCCACACAAGAACATCTGGAAAAGCCATACACCCAAACAGTTACCTTGGCTCAGCTGGCCACCAGTAACTTCCCAAGTCGCAGTAATGTCAAGAATTGTCTTGACAGCTTAAAAAAATCAGTAAGAAAAATCATCCCTGCTAGGCACCTTCTGAACCTGATAAAAGATTTCACATGCATGTAAGAAGTTTCTTCACCACACAGTTTTTTAAAGATAATTACAAGGAAGGCATTGGCCAACATGAAGATCACTTATTTGTATTACAGCGACACCCAGGAAAGCCTCCAGCCATGGACTGTATGGTCAGGTGGTGTTCAAATACAGATCTGAAATTTAGCCTCTGTTTCAAAAACCTGGAGGGATCACAGGCAAACAGGTGCACTACAAATCAAATACACAGTGAAAGTGCAGATTCAAAACCTCCACATGTTGCTTCACATGGATTTTCCCCAGTCAAAACCAAAAAACAAGTGCCCTGCTCAACTTACTTGTTCCTCAAGCTGATGTTCTCTGGCTTGAACACTTCTTGATACGCTGCCTTATTACCAAGGATGAGATCCAATCGATGAACGGCCTCTACCACTGCTCTGCAAGGTAAGACAGAAAGAAGAGTTTCAGAATAGCAGGTTATCTGGGATTATTTCATGAAATCTGGGATGTCTGCACAGAACCATACTAGCCTAGTTAATTCCATTATTAGCAAGCAGCACTATACTACCACAGCATATTAATTGAGTTCCTTTCTGCAGTCTATTTTAAAAAGGTTATGAAAAGAAGAAAAAAAAAGTAGAATTACATACACTGTAATGATTTTGCTGCAAATCAGCTGCTTAATCAGCAGTTACCAGTCAGAAATGTCTTTGGACATGTTAGCAGCTTTTAACTTCAGCAATTAAATTATGCTATACATACACTCAGATTAATTTAAACATCTTAAACTCTATGATTAAAAAATTGATTGATTTCAACAATTACTGTTTTGATAGGGTAAGAGTCAAACCTCTACCAATTCCTGTTTCCTTAACAACTTGTCTATGAAAGAAGGTAACTCGCATCATTCTCGTTTGGCAAAACTTCCTGATCTTCGTTAGTGATTCATTGATTAAAGCCCTTAAATACCTCTCAGTGATAGGTAAGATATATCTGAAACCAGCATAAAATAGGAAATTCTTTATAAGATCTTTTTTTTCCCCTGAAAGACAGCTAAATGACAGACCAAGCAACCTCCAAACCTCTGAGTCATGAAGAAAAAAAAAAAAAAAAAAAAAACCACGCACACCCCCAAAAAAACTTCTGTGAATCACTGCCCAAGACTTTCCTCCTGGAGGAGGAATACCACACCGTGTGTAAAATCTTAAGTACTCAAAACTTTGTAGCTGTGAACAAATCGGACTACAATTCCAGAACATTGCAGTGAAATAAAACCAGGGACTTACACAAGCATTAGTGCTGACAGAAAGTACCCTCATCAATATCTCAGGGACAGTTCAATAAAGGAAAATCAACCAGCCATGTTAAACCCTTCTCAACAAGAGAGATCATCTCTAAACCTCTGCCTTTGTTAAGCCTGTATTTGAGGTCAATAAACTGACTCCTGAAATTAATTTTTCCCAGCTGATGACTCTACATGTTCCTCTAAGTAGTATGTTCTCCAAGCCGTCCTCAGCCATTAGCTTTCAAACTCCGCAGGTACTTGTTCTCCTCTCAACTTCACACCTACCTACCCATCATTCCTCGTTTGCTCTAATACCTTCACTGCTCCTGCTGCTCAGCCTGCCGCACACAGAGAGCTGCTTGAACAAGAAGTTGAAGACAACCAAGACGCACTCTAAATACAGAATGAGAGTGACCTGATCAGAGCAAACTTCTGCAAAGCAGAGCAGTTAGATGCTGCTACCAGCCTGCTCCCCCTCCCCGAAATCTCCATCGTCTGCAGAACGCAAACTGCCTCATCACGCTCACACCACGATGCAACGACTGCATCTTCTTTTCACGCACGTGCACAAATGGTTGCCAGATTGAATACAGGGCACTCGCATGGCACTTGCGAGCAAGAGCATGCAAAACCATATGCTAAGGAGGCAGGCTGAAACCACCACCACTTCCTTGAAAACTACAGACATTACTGTAAAGTAACTGATGGTTTCATATACCAGCCCCTTGCTAGCAAGGCAAGTCTCCTTTCACAAACCCACCACACCAAAAGGAACCTCCCTGAAAAAACCCAGAACATTCAGGAGCTCAAAAAGAAAATGTCCCATCTCACGCCATGTCACGGGAAGCCTTTCATCCAAGGGTAACTGGAAATCTCATTTGTTTTCAGCAAACCACAGAACCTGACAGATGAAGAGAAGCACAGCAAATAGAACTGTCTTACACAACGGCTTGGAGGATCAAAACACCGCAGAGTTGAGCAAACTTCTTCCTAATCATGAAGAAAACCAAGAACAGAGTAAGAATCACACACACAAATCTTCTACTAACCTTGACATCCACAGCCACTTCTGCTCACAAGCATCTTTCTCACATGGCCTGAAGGTCCTTTGCAAACTCTAACAACCTAATACCCTCAACAGCAAGTAAGACAAGCAAGTAAAATGCTTTTTGGTTTACAGGTAAAAGCCAGTAAGTATGAAGCATTCATCCAACCTCACAGCATACTCAGGGGGTGGGGGGGGACCCAACAAGCCTCTCCCACACATTTAGCTTCCCCAAAACAGATCTCCACAAAGCTGCAGATAATAACATATCCTTACTGCAACCCATGATTAATGTCACTGCACCTCTCAAAGACCCTCTGCAGTGAGTGCTGCAGCAGGGAACAGTGTGGCTCACAGGGAACTGATTTGTTTCCCATGCAGAAGGGTGACCAGAAGAAAGGGGAACTGCTGATTCATTCGATATCCAGAGAGAAGTATAGGAAAACTATGATCTTCTATTCTCAAAATAGGCAGTCTCCACATCTTCAAAAGAGCTGTAAAAAATGCATTCACTGTACATGACACGAATCGCCAGCTGCTGTGTGTCCGATACAAGCTCACATGTCACCGACATATCAAGGTGGGAAATGATTTCACGGTGACTACAAGCAGCCAACACTTGCATCCAAGGACATGGTCAGCCCTTAGGGTGGGATGTCATACATGCAGGTGTGAACTCATGTGTCCAAACCCTCATATGCAAGCTAACTGCATATGACTCCTTCTGCCACTGAATTCAGATTCCTTTACGGGCATGTGGTCCAGGTTCTCTCACCGCTCAGTAGCTCAAATGCTAAACAAGCCTCTATTTTTTTTTTTAATAATAGCTAAAAAAAAGAACGGTCACAAAATCCCATTTAAGAATCCTCCTGAGTTCAGCAGCAATAGAAATGCATCCTGACACTGCAGCATGACATCCATGAAATGACAGGAATTACTCAAAAAGCAGTTGTCAGAAGCCTCTTTCCAAGTTGCAAGCAAACAGACAGCTATTCAGCTGCCAACAGTATCAGTGGGTAAGAAATGTGATCAAGCAGTTAAGGCAAGCCTACTCACATGCACCAGGACTCAAATGCCTGCCAAATGTGTAGTACAGAAAAGTTTCCTTCCCGGGACTATCGGAGCGGGGATATTGGAAGGTATTTTGCCTTCCCCTTGAGCACAGGGTGGGACGCATCCCGGAGTGCGTCTCCCATAGAACCTTGTTTCCTGCAACAGTCAGGGATGGGCACGTGAAGACACTGGTTGCTTTTATGGGTACGTACATAAAGAAACAGAGAGTTGGTGACTTGAAAGCAACACGGTTTATCTTTTAGGATGTCGGTTCCCGAGCCGTAAAGCAGCAGGCAGACCCCACACCAAAATTCTCTTCTTATCAGCATGAGCTCCATGGTGCTGCTGGAAGAGGTGGATGCAGGAGCAAAGAAGAATCTGCGACAGCCAGTGATGACCTGCAAGGATCATCTGTCCACGGTGGTGAGGAAAGGGGACACAGTGAGGACAATAAGGTACAGGAGCCAGCCTCACTTCAAAAATGTTAGGAAACATCAACACAGGCGCTACAGACCATGCACTCATTAAAATGGAATTTAGCATTTGTTCCTCGTGTGGCTTGAGACCACGGGCTGAATTTTACTTAGCAGTTAAGAGGCCAAATTTTGTCCCAGTACCCATTTTTATACCTGCTGGGTTTAAATGTTGCTTTCAGACTGCACATCAGAACCACAGAGGAGGCAAATCAGATGCCAGTCTATTAAAAGAACCAAGTACAGGACATCATGCCAAGCAGGGTGTGGAAGTGGTCCAACGCGAAGTCCTCTTCAGCCATGCAGACACTGACCTATCACTTTCCTTCTGTGCCATTAACATTCCGGGATGGGGCAAGACAGCAAGGAGAATTATTTGTCCTCTCTCTATTTCTTTATTTAATACACCACTAAGAGCCACAGTCTCTGAGGAGTAGGACATTTCTCAGGGAAAAGAACTGCAGCCATTCATTTGTATTCTGGCATGTGTCAGTACACAAATAATACTGCCCAGAACAAGGCTGGCAGACAAGAATAGTAACGCAAAGCCAATGAGCTAACGGTTACCCAGAATCCAGGAAAGAAATCTGTAAAATAAACCCGGTCACCCTACGCTAAAACATACATTGTAAAACAGCACCCAGGGTAATCCAGTTGCCATATTCTGAGGTGAAATTTGGGGATTATCAATCCAGGAGGACTTAAATGGAAAAGATCAAAGACCATCCTACGAACAGCGATGGGCAACCTCATCTTCAAAAGGACACGCCAATGGCCAACATACTTGCCAAGGACCGTGGAGACCTGAGCTCAACTCCCACTGCTCTCAGAAGCAGACACAAAGCTGATCCCACGTGAGTACAGTTTATAGCTGGGAGTGTGACATTCAAACATCTGTGATTCAAAGGCACTGTTTAATCCGATGGCCAAAAGTTTCCAGAGACAGTCAGCCATCAAAGTACAACATGCTTCTTAGAGGGCAGGAAGTTACCACTTCATCTAACTGAACTTCAGGCTGAAATAGAGAAGAATTGACAAGAGACTGTTAAGGTAGAAAGCTTGCTAAGAGAGCTATCGGCTGTGTAGCAAGAAAATTTGTGGCCACTGCAGATATTACAAATCCTGCACTAAAATCACAATACTTACTTCCACTTAAAATAAGAGCCATCTCTATAGGGGTGTGGTTTTCTTTTTCCGCTATAAAAAAAGCTATAAAGCAACCACACACCTTACTCCGCCATAAAAATTTAAACAGAAAACTTCAAGTACTCCGCCATAAAAATTTAAACAGAAAACAACTGCTTCCTTGCCTTGATGACCAAACCCTGGTCAAGGGACGTTCACTTATGAGCTCCAGCAGCATAGTGA